GAAGCTAGGCCAGAGAACCGGGAGCCGGGCACCCGTCCCCCACGTTCGTTCGCTGAGCACGTCCGTGTGCCAGGCCCTGGGTGCGGCGCTGGAAAGGGAGCCCGAGGCTGCCCCGCCGAACTCTGCTTGCCCCTCCAGAGGGGGCAGGAGGGCCAGGCTGGTCAGGTTCCTGAGGGGCCAGGGACGCCGAGCCTGGAGGGGAGCGGCCTGGGCAGCCATCCTGCCTTGGGCTTCAGAGGCTGGGGTGACCCCAGTGCTGGTGCGGGTGGGCACAGGGGTGTGTGGGAGGGGGCAGTGGGTGTGTGGGATTCCTCCTACACACGCACACCGGACAGGCCCAACTAACGCTGGATTTGCCTTGCAGCTGAGCAGTCTAACTGCCCCCTTCCTCCCCCAGGTGCCGCCCACCCACTGGGCAGCTGGCGGGAGCTCCCAGCTCCTGGGCCCCCAGGGGAGGGCTGGGCAGAGAAACTGAGCCTTGGGCTGGCCCCAGGGGAGCGTGGGAGCGTGGGAGCGTGTCTGTGGCCCCACCTGCTGTCCTGCCCCATCTGTGACGTCCCCCCACCCCAGCCTCTTCCCTCTCGGCCTGTCTCCCTCACCTGGCTCTCTGAGGCCCGGGGCTCTGCCTGTCTGCCTCTTGTCATTCTGTGTCCGACTCTGCCGCCCTCTCTCTGTTGGCTTTTTCTGGGTCGTGAGGGCTTGGGGGAGCCCAGCTGGAGCCGGGCAGGCGAGGCCAGGCAGAAGGGGAAGGAATTCAGTGTGTTCTCGCAGCTGGGGGCGCCCAGGTCCCCGGAGGCACTGAACCCTCCCCTGGGCCCTGGTTCTAGCAGGAGGGCAGCAGGCAGGGCGGCAGGAGATCTGAGCGGCTCATCGGCCCTCCCTCCCTGGTGCCCCCTAACCAGAGCCTGCCTCCCAGCTGGGGCTCCCCCCGCCCCCGCTGCAGAGGGCGTCCCCTCCCATCTGAGGGCCCTGTCAGCCTGCCTGCCTGTACGCCCCCCACCCCGTGTCTCTCTCGGTCTCTGTCCTCCCACGTGTGTCCCCCTCCCTGTGTCTCCTGATATCCTCCCCAGAGGAAGGGACTTGGGGGCGGGGGCTGAGCTGATGCTACCTTCAGGGTTGGGGAACCAGGAGTGAGGAAAGAAAGGAAAAGGGGGCGTGTTGCCAGAAAAGAAACGAAAGCAATTTAATCTCTTTTTTTCTCTTTTTTCTTGCACATTTTTTTTCAATTTGTTTTCTCTCTCTCTTCCGATGCTTAAAGTAGAAGTGGAGCAGAAAGGTAAACGCACCTGTTACCAATGCTAACCCCTAACTCACACTTTGTTCCACCTGTGCCATACTTATGTGACCCGCCCTCCCCTCGGCCCCTTCTTCTCCCCAACCCCCAACTTGGTCCCGTCGCTCTCCCCCACCCCGGGTGTCCCCGCGGCGGGGCCAGCCCTGGCGCGGCCACGGGCGCCTCCCCCTGCACACCTGAGGAAGCTCCTCTGTGAGCGCGGGCAGGACCTTCTCTTTCTCGCTCTCTCTGTCTCTGTCTCTCCCTGTCCCTCCTTCCTAGTCCCTGGCCCTTGCGGGGGACCGGGCCTTCTCTCATACTTCTTTTGCCTCCTTCAGGAGAAGTGTGTAAGCCTCCAGGCGGGTGGGGAGGGAGGGGCCCCTGCCTGGCTCCGGGCTGAGCCGTCTCTCTCCTCTCTTCTTCCTGCCCCAACTTTCCTAACATGTGTCTGGCTTGGGGAGGCGGGATGGAGGGGACACCTTTGTTTTCCTTTTGGGGAGCAGATTCCTCCTCTCTCTCGGGCTCCTGGTGGCTTAAGTTCCTTCTGGTTTGGCGTTTCCAAGGCCCAGAGCTGTTTTGGAGCACGGAGCACCAGTTTTCCTCACCCCCAACCCCCATTCTCGACCAGCTGGGGCCCAGCCCCGGGGAGGGGTGGAAGCTGTCCCCAGCCCTGGGAGGGCAGCCTGCCAAGCCGGGCCGGGGGCGGGCGGCGGGCCTCAGGGGGGAGCGCCGGGCGGGGGAGTGTGGGCTCTGGTTCGGAAACACTTGCGAAGCTGCAGTCAGGGTTCCTTCTGGGCTGTTCTGGTTAGAGGACCAGGGAGAGGGGCGGGGGAGGCACAGGCCGGGTCTGGGGACTTCCACGAGCACCGTAATTTCTTGCAGGTGTACCCTTCAGCTGGTGGGGGGGGAGTGCTGCAGTCGAAGGGCGTGGGGGGCGGGATGTTGGGGATGGTTGCTTCCTCCCCTGACTTCCTCCCCTGAAAGTTTCAGGAAATGCACAGCCCTGAGGCTGGTAGCAGTGGGGGAGGGCTGGGTAAGACATCCTTTCAGAATCGCTTTTGCCTTGAAATTACGGTGGTCTGTGGAGCATCCCCTTCGAGGGAGGTGGGGCGGGGTCCCTCCGAGCTGCTCCCCTCCCCCGTCCCCCATCTCAGAGAGGCCTGGGCAGCCAGCCCCCAGCCCTGCCCCTCACCGCATCCTGCCACTCTCTCCCTCTCTCCTGGAGACTCTCCCACCCAGCACCAGACACTCTTCTTGCAGGCCCGGTGGTGGTGGTTTGGATACAGCAGCCCTGGATCTTTTCTCTTCAAGGGCGGGGGAGGGGGGGGGAGGTGTTGGGAGCTTGGTGCTGGGGTGGGGTCCTTGCTGGCAAAGGCCCCAGGCAGACCCTTCCTCATCTTCTCCCCCTAACCCCGGGGGAACCTCTAACCACATTTTCCTCCTCCACACCCATCTGACCAGGTCAGGCTCTGAGACTTCCCACCGTCCCCCTCACCCACTCAAATACATCTGCTCAGGCCCCACAGAGCTGGCAGGGGGGCCCGGCTTGGGGAGAGGGGAGACCTGGGCACAGAGGAAAAGGGCAGAGGCCAGATGTGCTGGACAGAGGGTGCACCGACCCCTCAAGGCACTGGGGACTGGGAGATGGTCGAGCCCAGGGTCAAAGCCAGGATCCCTGTGGTTCCTGCCCATCTCTGGGCCCCAGGCTCCCCTCCACTTCCTAAAGCATGGCCTGTTCCTAGCTGCTTTGTGCCTGGGGACCCTTGGGCCAAGCTGTCCCTGATGCTGTAAAGGGAGGGCTGGATATCCCCCCACCTAAGCCTGCTGAAGAGTGAGGCTGGATGTGGGGGAGTGGAGAGTGGCTCCTGTCCAAGCCGCTCTTGCCACTGGGGCCGCCCCCTAAGCTGGCGGCAGGTCCCAGCCCTCCCTGTCCCCCTTGGGGTTGGCTGCTTTGGTGAGAGGCCAAGCAGGAGCAGAGAATTCACTGCAAACCTTCATCCTGGCCTGTCTGTGGGTCCTGCTAGCAGGGAGGTGAAAGGGAGGCCCCAACCATCCTGGATGGAGGGGTGCCTGGCCGTCACCACTCTGGGAGGAGGAGGGGAGCCTGGCCACACTGACTATGAGAGTCCAGACCCCCACTGGGTCAGTAAGGGGAGGCCAGGAGTAGGTGGCGCTGGGGCGTGACGGGGCAGGGTGGGCAGGCCAGCAGCGGCCAAGGAGATGCAGTTGAGGTTTTCCTCCTTTTCAGGGAATGGGGGGGTGGGGCGGGGCCCCCCACCTTTCTGACATCAGCGCTGCCTTGGTCCCTCCTCCCGAGCCGGGGATGGTCGCAGGTAAATCGGGGTCCGGGCCAGGGGAGGGGGGGGGCCTGTCTGGGGTGGGCTGGGTCTTTATCCTAGCACCTGGTTCCCTCCCTTGCCCCCTGAGCTGGACCTGGGACTGTCCCCCGAGGGACCCTCGGTCGGGCCTGGGCCTTGGAGTGAATTCTCTGCTCACCCCTCTCTCCTCCGCCAGCACTAACCCTTTCTTCCCAGGTGGTCTCCAGCGTGCCTCCCTTGGAGCCAGGACCTCGCCGAGCCCCCCCACACCTTGTCTCTCTTCCCTCCACGCAGCTCTCCTTACCCCTCCCTACTCTCCTGGGGAGCCCCCTCCCTCCCCATGTCCCCACCCCCCACTGCACCCTGTGCACCAGTGTCAGTGTCTGCTGCTGAACAGACCCCATGAGAGACCCTGCCGGCTGGGGGCAGGGTTGGGCGCCCTCTGGGAGGGGCTCAACTTTTCCGTAAAGCTTTCCTTGGCTACTGATTGCGTGGGTGCCAGGTGTGGGGGGCCACAGGCTGCATCAGAAACCTTGGGTGCCTCCCCCCCACCCTGGAATAGGAGAGTGCTCCTGACACCCTCAGTGGGTTCGGAAATGTCATTCTACCTTGCAATTTTTGCAGGAGGAAGAAAGTGGAGTTAAAAATAAAAAATCTGTCCTGGTGTGGTTGGTGAAGGATGGGACCCTCGACCCTAGCTCTTCCATTATGGGGTGGAGACGATGGCGAAGGGGCAGGGCGCTGAGTCCCTGGAACCTCAAAGCGCCAGCAGCTGCAGTGAGGAGATCTTCCAGCCCCTACAGAACTATCTGGGAGGGTTCTTGCCAAACCCCTTATCCCCAGCCTGTGGGGTCTCTAGCAGCCAGAGAAGGAAAGAGGGGTACCACCTTCCCCCACTAACCCTGTTCTTAATGGCCTCCAGGGTTGACATCTCCAGGGAGAGGGGCAGCTGGGCGGGGCGGGGGTCCCAGCCCAGAAACCCCCTTCCCATCACCAGCCCTACCAAGCAACCGTGACTGCAGCAGCAGGAGGGGACAGCCTGGCTCCCCCCGGCCACGTGACCAACTTATCTCTCTCCTCCCTCTCTCTCTCTCCTCCCTCTCTCTCTCTCCTCCCTCTCTCTCTCTCCTCCCTCGCCCCTGCTTGTCCTTCCCCCACATCCTCCCCACCCACCCGCCTGGCCCAGTCTTCGTGTGCCCAGGGACCCTGCAGAAGGTGCTGGAGCCCACCTCGACGCACGAGTCAGAGCACCAGTCCGGCGCGTGGTGCAAGGACCCGTTGCAGGCGGGTGACCGCATCTACGTCATGCCCTGGATCCCCTACCGCACCGACACGCTCACCGAGTACGCCTCGTGGGAAGACTACGTGGCTGCGCGCCACACCACCACCTACCGCCTGCCCAACCGCGTGGATGGCACGGGCTTCGTGGTCTACGACGGTGCCGTCTTCTACAACAAGGAGCGCACGCGCAACATCGTCAAGTACGATCTGCGCACGCGCATCAAGAGCGGGGAGACGGTCATCAACACGGCCAACTACCACGACACGTCGCCCTACCGCTGGGGGGGCAAGACCGACATCGACCTGGCTGTGGACGAGAACGGGCTGTGGGTCATCTACGCCACTGAGGGCAACAATGGGCGGCTGGTGGTGAGCCAGCTCAACCCCTACACGCTGCGCTTCGAGGGCACGTGGGAGACGGGCTACGACAAGCGCTCGGCGTCCAACGCCTTCATGGTGTGTGGGGTCCTCTACGTACTGCGCTCCGTGTACGTGGACGACGACAGTGAGGCGGCCGGCAACCGCGTGGACTACGCCTTCAACACCAATGCCAACCGCGAGGAGCCCGTCAGCCTGGCCTTCCCCAACCCCTACCAGTTCGTGTCCTCCGTGGACTACAACCCCCGCGACAACCAGCTCTACGTCTGGAACAATTACTTCGTGGTGCGCTACAGCCTGGAGTTCGGGCCGCCCGACCCCAGTGCTGGTGAGCACCACGCCCCTCCTCCTTGGGCCCAGGACGGGCGTGCTGCGTGAGCAGTTAGGGATCTGGAGGTCAGGGTCGCACAGCCATGACAGGTGGCTCTAGGACCCTCACGGTTGTGGCCTCGTAGGATCCTCCCAGTCTGTGAGATGGTGATGGTCCCTGCCCCATTTTACAGCAGAGGGAACTGAAGCACCCACGGGTGACGGGTTTGCTTCCTTCTTTTGAGGATTTGGACCCAGAACTCTGGGCTCTGAACAACTGAGCTGCACTGCCTGTTCCAGGGGCCTGTGTGCTTTTAGCCCTGGCCCTTGTCAGCTCTTGTCATCCCAAATCTTGGGTGGAAGCCCGATACGGCTAAAATAGAGAGAAGCCGAGCTGCCGATGGGCATGAGGTCAGCCTCCACGGTGTGTTCCCCTCAGCTGCCCTAAGCCGGCTCTGAGCAGCCCCAGGGCTCCCCAAGCTAGTCCAGCCTCATTTGTGAGAGGGGCAGCGGAGGCCCCCAAAGGGAAGGGCCGCGGCCAAGTTACAGAGAGCAGAGTGAGAGCAGGAGATTGGAAGGGGGCTCTGTCCGGCAGCCCCAGACCACACCTTCCTGGCCTGTCCTCTTGGGGTGCCCTCTCAGATCTCTGGGTGCACATAGGTGAATTTTTCCCGTCTTTTGATGTGTTAGAGGGAACTGTGGGTGTGAGGGACCTCTGTTGGCAGAGAGGCTGGGGGAGATGTGCTGCCAGACCCAGTGGGGACCAGGACCCCTTCCCATTTCACGATGCGAGGAAGATGCTAGGATGCCAGGGACCCTGTGCGTGGCCAGGCTGTGGCAGGGCCTTGAGCACGGCGGTGACGCTGTCTTGTATCCCCTTTCCCTTCTAGGCCCAGCCACTTCTCCCCCGCTCAGCACGACCACCACAGCCCGGCCCACACCCCTCACCAGCACGGTTTCACCTGCAGCCACCACCCCACTTCGCCGGGCACCCCTCACCACGCACCCCGTGGGTGCCATCAACCAACTGGGACCCGACTTGCCTCCGGCCACAGCTCCAGCCCCCAGCACCCGGCGGCCCCCTGCCCCCAACCTGCACGTGTCCCCAGAGCTCTTCTGTGAACCTCGAGAGGTGCGGCGGGTCCAGTGGCCGGCCACCCAGCAGGGCATGCTGGTGGAGAGGCCCTGTCCCAAGGGGACTCGAGGTGAGTGCAGAGGCTATGGCTGGCTGGGGGAGCGGCCACTGCTTGTCTGGCCAGGGAAGGGACTACTCAGCTTAGCGTAGATGTACTTTCCTGTCCGTCTCCCTCACTGGAGCGTAGGCTTTGGGCAGGGGTCACGTCTGACCTCTGCAGCTGTGTCCCCAGAGCCCAGCACAGCTCCTACATCAGTTAGGGCCCCCTGCCCCATCCCCTGTCCCCTCCTGCGATAAGGAGTGCCTGCTGCACGCAAAGTGCTGGGCAGACCCTGCAGGGCACCTGCAGTAGGTGACATGGGTCCTGGCCTCAGGCTGAGTTGGAACAGCCCTAGGAACAGGACAGAGAGCAGCTGAAGTGCCACGGCGGGGGGTGGGAGGGGGACCAGGACCCCATCTCCAGGGATCCAAGGGGAAGGTCAGAAGAGGCTTCATGGAGAGTGAGGGCTTCCAGGATGGCCTTTGCTAGAAGGATTTAATTCTGATAGGCAAAGGTGGAAGGGAGCCGAGAGGGAGGGCTTACGGGGAGTGAAGGGTGGCTTACGTCACCTCCGAGTGACACCTCTCTTGACTGTCTGGCCCCCTCATGTCTGGTCTTGCGTGTTCCCCTCACCTCTCTCCTCACCCACTCATCCCTGACTCCATCATCAACTTTCTCCCTGCTTCGGCCTGTCTGTCTTTCCCTCCCTGTGGCTCCCTTCTCTGTTTCTGTCTGTCTGTCCCTGCAGGAATTGCCTCCTTCCAGTGTCTACCAGCTCTGGGGCTCTGGAACCCCCGGGGCCCTGACCTCAGCAACTGCACCTCCCCCTGGGTCAACCAGGTGGCCCAGAAGGTACCTGCAGCCGCCACCCCTCCCAGACAGGCACATGAGCTCGGGCCCCGGGCGGCCGGGCGCAGGGCATGGCAGGGGCAGTGGAGCAACCGGGGCAACAGACAGGCCGGCAGGTCTGGGAGCCAGGACTGTGGGGTCCCCTCCCTGGCCTACAGAGGGAGCAGGGAAGATGGGGAGGGGAGGGCAGCAGAGAGAGGGCCGAGGGGGCCAAGCAGGCCAGGCATGTGTACAGGGAACGTGGGGAAGCGAGACAGGCTCTGACGGAGTGGGGGCCCACTCCCGCCTCATGCAGATCAAGAGCGGGGAGAATGCGGCCAACATTGCCAGCGAGCTGGCCCGCCACACGCGGGGCTCCATCTACGCGGGGGACGTGTCCTCCTCCGTGAAGCTCATGGAGCAGTTGCTGGACATTCTGGATGCCCAGCTGCAGGCCCTGCGGCCCATCGAACGCGAGTCGGCTGGCAAGAACTACAACAAGGTGGGGTAGGGCCAGCGGGGTGGCACCTTGCCCTGGGGGCTCAGGAGTGTCTGGTCTGGTACCTTTGAGCTGGGCTGCACCCCACAGTGGTCAGAGGGAGGAAGGACGGACCCCAAGCCTGCCCTGGATGGTCCTGGGAGCTGGGGAGCCTTAGAAACGGCTCTTCTCATGGCCCAGCCCTGGATCGGTGCAGATGCAGAGGAGCAAGCGCCCCAGGGCCCAGGCGCAACTGTGGAGGTGACGGGAGTGGGCCAGGCCGGGCCTCATGGCCTCTGTCTCTTTCTCTAGATGCACAAGCGGGAGAGAACCTGCAAGGACTACATCAAGGTGAGGCCCCGAGGCTCCTGCCGGCTGAGGGGGTGGGCCGACCCCTGGCGGCACTGGGATGGCGGGTGAGAGGAGGGGACACGGAGCCCAGCCCGAGGACCTGGAGGATGTGGGGGCCTTATGGCACCGCCCCCCACCCACGCAGGCTGTGGTGGAGACAGTGGACAACCTGCTACGGCCAGAGGCTCTCGAGTCCTGGAAGGACATGAACGCCACGGAGCAGGTGCACACAGCCACCATGCTCCTGGATGTCCTAGAGGAGGGCGCCTTCCTGCTGGCCGACAACGTCAGGGAGCCCGCCCGCTTCCTGGCCGCCAAGCAGAATGTGGGTGAGTGCTGCAATCACCCTGGCGCAAGTCCGGGTGCAAATCCTGAACCCGAAGATGTCCTGACACCCTGGCCCTCGACTTCAAGCCTCTTGCTGCAGCCCAGGCCCCCGGACCAGGTACAGACCCCAATCACATGTGCCCTGCCATCCCCTGTCTCCACAGTCCTGGAGGTCACAGTCCTCAACACAGAGGGCCAAGTGCAGGAGCTGGTGTTCCCCCAGGAGTACCCAAGCGAGAACTCCATCCAGCTGTCGGCCAACACCATCAAGCAGAACAGCCGAAACGGTCAGTGCCTGGCGCGTGCTGGCCTCCCCGCCTGCTCACGGAGCAGGGCTGTTCTCCACTTGCCTCGGGCTGAAGAATCTGAGAAAAGGTTGGGACCCATAACAACACAGAGATGTCCCCCACTCAAGCTAGTGTGACATTTTAGCAGATTCATGGGGTCCCTCCAAGGATCCATAGCATCTAAGACACATTGCTGTCTGCAGGCCTCTCTCCTGGGCAGTAGCAGTTGATCTTCATAGCTCAGGGAGGATTGTCCTGTTTGAGACTAAGGTTCAGAGAGGTTAGGGATTTGCTCGAGGTTACACAGCAAGTGAGAGGTGGGCAGAGGACCCAGCCCTGTGTGTCCTGGCTCACTGCCCTGCCATTTGGAATTGAGCAGTAGTGCCGTGGAAGGGCTCCCTGAGCCCCGCTCACCTGGGCCACGGCCTGGCTTCGGAGGGCCCAGGGGCTGAGGGGTGACAGCACATACCACTGTGCCTGTCCTCCCCAGGGGTGGTCAAGGTCGTCTTCATTCTCTACAACAACCTGGGCCTCTTCCTGTCCACTGAGAATGCCACGGTGAAGCTGGCGGGTGACGCGGGCGCGGGCAGCCCAGGGGGTGCCTCCCTGGTGGTGAACTCGCAGGTCATTGCAGCATCCATCAACAAGGAGTCCAGCCGCGTCTTCCTCATGGACCCTGTCATCTTCACTGTGGCCCACCTGGAGGTGAGCCGAGGGGGTCCTCCTCCCTCCTGGGGGTCCAGCATCCTCCGTGTTCCCAGGCTGCATTCCCCGCACTGTGTGTCCTCCCACCGTGGGAGCAAGTTACCACCCTTCCTGGGGCACCAGCCTGCCAGCCCCCACCTCAGCAGCTTGGGCTATCTGTCCCCAGAGATCTCTGACTGTCATTGGAGCCTGAAGCCCCAGGCACTTCTCTCTCACTTGTCGCTATCCCTGTAGCTGGGTGTGGGGGCTAGAACGGGACTCCCTGGATCTGACCCACTGGCCACCATCACACAACAGGCCAAGAACCACTTCAATGCTAACTGCTCCTTCTGGAACTACTCGGAGCGTTCCATGCTGGGCTACTGGTCGACCCAGGGTTGCCGCCTGGTGGAGTCCAACAAGACCCATACCACGTGTGCCTGCAGCCACCTCACC